TTTAAATGGTTAATCGTTCTGCTCCGGGGGGCCAGACACATGCTAACCCTGTATTTTCTTCCTTCTATGGGGTTAGGAGGGTTCAGGGTGAGGAGTGAATGCGGAGATATGCATAGGAAATAAAATTAAAATGGAAAAAAAATACTGCATATATTCTGTAATCCACTTTGTATGGATTGATCTCCCTTTTATGATATGTAGTCTAAGTCTTGTAGTGTAGACTATAGGAATGAGCTAAGAGGCATGCAGATATAATAAAGAGAATCCAACAAAGATATCACTATATTCCTTATAACTCTTAACTCAAGTTCACCAGTGACAACAAATCTAAGGTGGAAGAATAATGTAGACCAGATTATATGAGTCTGGTGTCCAGTAGTATAATACATATAATCCTTTACATCATTTCAATATCGTTATTCAGTTATGGCAGTTTGAATTTTGTGATATTCCCATGATTGTTTAACTTGTATTGCATGCTGGGAGTGTTAACTTGTATTTGTGTGATTAATGCTTATTGCACTACATTGATTTGTTTATGGGTGTAAGAAATCTTTGTGGGGTGACATCTTTAGGGGGTTAGGGGACTTGGATCTGTCATTTGCACTACATTGATTTCTGTATGCATATAGGATCAAATTCTGTATACATCCGAGGTTCCAATCAACTCGTAGTAGAATGCAGCTTACTTATTACATCTTATTCCAAAAATGGTACTGGTGAAAATGTCAAAACCTTTCATACTCAATCCTGCACAGATTTCATACTCAGTTTGGAATTGTACAAAGATGATTTTTTATTGAAAAGAGAAATGCATTAATTAAATACCTCTTAGTCTCTTACATAAAGTCTTATCTCTTGCAATTAATACTATACAATATATTATTAGTACTGTGTATGTATGTAATTTAAGATCTAGATTATGGAGGTTACCCCTAAAAATATGACTTACCTGCCCCCACCCTACCCCACAGTCCAACATTGTAAAAATGTAATGAATCATGGAAACACTGGCACCTATATTCAAATTTTAATTAATGATGCCACAATAATCATCACATTCTGATACTCGCATAAACTGCAGTTTGAATTTAGCATGTAAGTTTGGTATCAGTTAGCATTGTATTTTCTTTAAATTGTGTTGCATGTTTGGGGGTATTAACTTGTATTTGTGTGATTAATGCTTATTGCACTACATTGATTTAGTTATGGGTGTAAGAAATCTTTGGTGGGTCACAAGTGTATGCATATAGGATCAAATTGGTATAAACCATAGCTGCTACTGATTGGGGGGGGGGGGGGGGGTTAGGGAAATTGAATATAGCTGCTACTGATTGCACAGATTTCAGTGAGGTTATAAGCAAAACTAATGCTTCCTAACACCTGCTAATTGCCTAATTGGAAGATATGTAGAGATTGTAGTGATCGCACTATAAGGAAGTTGGGGGGGGGGGGGGGGGGATTTATAAAATAGAAAATTATAACCAGAGAAGGAATAGTAAAGGAATGGGAAAGATGAAAGAACGAAGTATAAAATAGAAAAAAAAAAAAATATAACCCGGCTAAAAACAGATTGGAGTAATGGGACTACGGTAGCGAGGGGTGCACTACAGTTTACATCATTTTTATCTCTTTCTTGTGTTTTAGTTTTTTTTTTTTTTTTTTTTTTTTTTTCGTGTGTTTTATAAGGGTAATATGTTAACCAGTTAGGTATGTTTTGTGGTGTTCCAGGTCGGGATGCTGACCATCCAGTGGAGTGTAGTGATGGCGAAAGTGATATGGACGAGGGGTTTCAAACGCCACTGGAGGATTCTGAAGAACTCGAGGATGCAGAACCGGTGCATGGTGCAGCGGCCCGTGAAAGTCTGTTGTTTCCCAAGATCAAGACACGGGGCAGTCCGAGGGAGCTTGTTCGCCTTGTTTCCTCGCTCACGGTACGACAACGGCAAGATGTCAATGCGATGGGCATGGGCGGGTTGCTGGGATTAAGGATCAAGGAACTACCTCTGCAACTCGGGCGTTGGTTAGTGTCTAATTTCGACCCGGTGGATATGAAGCTGAACCTAAGCCACGGGAGGTGTATTAAAGTTACAAAGGAGGATGTGGCGGCAATGTTGGGACTCTCGAATGGGTTGATCCCCATAACGGAGCGTGATATCCAGGTGGAGTGCCCCGACCTACTAGCGTGGAGGAGTAAAGTTCAAAAACCGGAGGGTAATATCACCACGAAGGCGCTTACAACGCTGTTGTTGGAACTGAAGGGGGGCGGCATGTGGTTTAAAAGACATTTCTCCGTGGTGGTGGTTAGCTCCCTGATCTCAAACACGCTCAATGGGTATGCAAACCAACGGATTGTGCACATGTTCCGGGATGTTGCAAGGATTAGGGAGCTAGATTGGTGTGGATACCTCCTGCAGACGTTGGGCAGTACACGTGCGAGTTGGATGGAGCATCCTACAAGGAAATTCCCGGGTCCACTGTTGTTCCTCACTGTAAGTGGGGTGTAGGGTTGGGGGTACTACATTTTGCATCCATTCTAACATGTTTTATTTTTCGTGCAGCTGCTGTATGTGGACAGGATTGTTGTCGGTGCCCGGGATGTACCTAGGACTATACCAGCATTGTGTGGGTGGACGCCAGCGTGGTTAAAAGCACAACAAAGACGGGAAGTTCATGCTGGGGTATTCGGGAATGGCCAGCTGGATGCACCGCTCCGCGCATCGTCGGGAACTCGTGGTGACACAGGGCTCCGTCCGGCTCAGCGTGGACTTGATCTTGGTCCCATTACGGTAAGGCGGTGGTGTGTTACGGCGTGTGGTTTAAAAGATATTTGTGTGTATATCTAGTTATATAGGTAGGTTGGGTTTAAACAATATAATATTGGTACCACTACTACAGTTTCTGCTCAAGAATGCATAGAAATACCCAGCGGATGCCTAAAAGGTGGGTGGGAACACATGAAAAACCTGTATTGGACCATAATTTCGGTGTGTTTTTTTGGGTGTGGGGTGTCATTTCTAGGTCTGGTGTGTTATCGCATGACATTGCTATATATGTATGTCTAATCCAGGTCCAACACGAGGATGTGCAGGGACCTGATAGTCCACGGGGTCAACTGCAGGACACCCATGATGTCCGAAGGCCACGGCCGGCTCACCACGGACCCGGTGCTGATACGGTACTAGTTTTGATTTCTTATTGAGTTGCACTTCGAGACACGCTGGGGCTGACTAGGTTTTAGTGCTATTTTGTTTTGTTAGTCATTACAGTATGCCAACTTAACAGGTGCATTAGTGTATATTTATGTGTACGAGTGGCTGTGTAAATTTGGTTTAATTGCAGGTGGATGCACCGGTCCGTGCATCGCCAGCACGTCCTGAGGTACCCACTGCCCGGGGAGGTCCCGAGACTGCACGCACGGAGCACAACGTCCCCACTCCAATTTCTACCGGGGTATGTATAACCAACTTCAGGACATTAGGTTTGTAGGGATTCCAACATGAATAGGTTCAAAATATTTGTGGGTCTAATATTTGGGTGTATGGCAGTTTATAAAAAACAAGTGCACAAACCGCAAAGGAGGAAAAGCTTATTTGTGCATTGTAATACTGTTTTATTTTTTTACACTTTTAATTTCTTATCCAGTATGCACAGCTGTCTCCGGTAACTACTAGCTGGGATGCACTGACAGGGAGCACATGAATGCTATTGGTTTTGTGCATTTTAATACTGTTTCATATTTTTAAACTTTTAATTTCTTATTCAGTATGCACAGCTGTCACTGGTAACTACTAGCTGGAATGCACGGGGGGGTTTAATGCTCCAAACAGCTAATTAAATGCACTGGGGGGGGGGGGGGGGTGGTTTATTAGTCATTGCATATGCATAAGCACTTCAGCTAATTAAATTCATGTTGTACTACCTAAATTGGTGTTTTAGTCTGCTTTTCAACTTGTGTAGAAGGTTGCCTAGATTTTAGTGTTATTTTATTTTATTAGTAATTAAGTATGTG